ATATATATATATATATATATATATATATATATATATATATATATATATATATATATATATATATAAACGCTCATTGTTAGTAAGCCATAGAAATAATGTTATCCACATGCTACATCAAGTTGAACAACATAATCATAAATTTCACATCATATTCTTATAAGAAATTAATGTTATACACAAGGAATATGTTCGAGCTCATATTTATTCGGAAATATCTCTCAACAATGAGACTTCAGAGTTGCCACTTGCATAATTTTCCATTCCTTTGAGAAAATTAAAACTCATATAAAGCATTCATAGGATGCAGATCAATATTACTATTGCAGTACTTCAACAATTTCTATTGCAAGGCTTTGATTAATAACATATGAGAGTCAACCTTATTTCAGGTGAAGATCAAGTGGCGCTCTAACTAGCCTGCATGATCAACACCCTACTTCTTAAAACTCTCAGGTCGAGTGGTGAAACCGAAGTTTTCTTAAAAACCATCTTCCTAGACAGAGTATTCAAGAACAATGACTTTTCCATGCTACCACCATAAATGTGAGTAAAGCCTTTGAAATTAAACTCAGTACACAATTTAAATATTTAAGATTATGTGACTGTAATATAGTATGTATCTCATCAAATAGTGCAATGTTTGTAACATATCCACAATAATAACACATAATGTTGTAAATTGACATGTGCATAAGTACACAATTTATAGGATTTATATCATATTGATGATTTAATCACTTAGCAGTAGTGTTAAATCATCACTTCTAACACAACAAATTCATAAAGCTCATACATGTGAAAAATAACAATTCACTTATCTTTGTGTAAACCGCTATTAATTTTCTATATAATATTCAAAGCACTCACCATACAGAATATGGAATGGTAATTTTTAAAATGCTTGTCACAATATATATTTCACGTTTAACATGCTCTCAAAAGATAATAATCAATTGAATGCAAAGATATAGGCAAATCATCTTCTAAATTATGTCATTATGATAATTTTAAGGGACATGATCAATGCCAATAATATATGACTACTAATGCTCAAGACAATCATTTGCATATGATACTCTATTATCATATAAGTATGCATGTGCCATATTAAAATATGAGGAGGCAAATCTCATTGGTAAGACTGAGCTATGCAAAGAGTATACATGAATAATGACTCTTCAACTCCATGCTACAAACAAATTGCAACCAAAGACTTTGATATATACTTATTATATCTTTATACAAATAATTTTAGTACATGATTCAAATCTTTAAAACCATGTGACAAAGATATATAATTATATATGCATCTCATATTCAATTTGAAGGAACAAATAGCCCCCACTAATAAATTAATCATGCATCACTTAAATTTATGTTCCCCAGTTATCTAATGCATAATCACTTTTTGATCTCATTTTGTGAAGAACATCATATATAACATTTTCGAACAACACTAAATCCAAGAAACACATGCCTACACATAGACATAACAATATGCATGAGATATTGATCATCAAGATTAACCATTTATATCTTGGATGTTAAGAGTGAGAGAGCATGTTTAAGTAATATAATGATCTTGCTATTTCAATTCTTCAAGACCAATATGCTATAAAAGATAATTATGTGATATATCATCATCGTAACTATAACTGCTTACACTTTAAATTCAAGAGCACAAGATTTAATAATGACTAAGTTATAAGATATACAGAATATTAATAATTTTGTGTGCTGAAAAGCATGTAGCTAACTATCTCTTAGTTATGTCAATCCTCATGTTGTGCACACTGAAGAGAACGAACCAAAAGATGAAATATAATTTGGTGATGACGCATGAAAATATTTCTAACACCCATTAAAAGAATTAACACATACACATGTATTAAAGAAATAATACTTAGCTCAGAGTTCGACAGACTTGAAGTGGATCATCATCTTAATCTCCTACCAGCGGTAGTTTAGACCGGTGAGAGGTTCGAGCTTGGCGAGGTCAGAGGAGGTTTAGATCCGAAGGTTAACATGATAACTTAAACACATATATTTGCTTTTAACTGTTGGAAAATTGGTCAGAATATGTCGTAGATCTAGGCTACTGTTTATATAGGCTGAGTATAGAAGAAATCCTGAATCAATCGGTGACGTGCGCAAGACACTACCTTAAAAGCAAATATTGCCCGGAGACGGTAACAGTCTTACCGATTGCTTTCGACCAGTTAACACCGAAGCTCAGGATTGCAGAAGAGAAGAATGTATTGAGCGTTTAGAGCTCAGGAGGAGCAGGGTATTTATAGCTATGGAATTACCTGCTCCTCCTCTCTTAGCCATTCAATTTCCACTAAAATAGGGGAGTGGTGGAGAGGACCACACTTGTAGGAGTTAAACCTCACTCCACAATTTATTGTGGATGGAAATAATCCACACTTATTTGGGTGTTATTCCCAACAATTTCATCTTAAAATAGGAAATTATAAAATAATTATGTATCATTAGGTACTTATTAAGGAGCTTATTGTAAAATAAAGGAGATGGAAAATCAAGTATTATATCGACATGTAGATCGAGCTTTTCTTTAAAAGGAATTTCACATACTATTTAGTATATGTCCAAATAATCTCCCGAAGTAGATAAGGACCATTGTAACCTAAAAGGATGATTCAGGACCAGAAGTCTGATACTTCAAAACGTCATTTTGAATACCCTTTTCTTTGAGACCGAAAATTCTCAAATTCGCATATTATTTTTGTAAAGAGTGATTTGGTGATTCTCCTAGAAAGAAAAGGAAATAATGTTAAATAATATCCATTAATATCCTTAGGGTATAAAATACGTATTTTGAGAAGTCATTTGAATATTGGCATGAGTTCTACTACATAGACTCCCAAAATTCTACTCCCTCATTTATACTCCCTGATGTGGCAAATCAGGATTGGTTGTTTTCATCATGTGGGTCCACAGAAAAATGTCTACATCAAAAGCATGTGAGAGAGAGTACAAGTTGGGAGTTTAAAATGGGAGTACACCAAGTATTTTCCTATTGGCATTGTGTTAAATGCCATGACTTGGATTGATATATTATAATCATTACTTGTTCTTATAGATGCACTTTGTACATTTTCATCTCATCATTAATCTACTATGCTCTCGCTTTGTTATAACGACTGTTAAGTTCTGAGATGAGATAAGGAATAGCAAGTCAATGTACAAATATTCATATTGATGATTTTTTGAAATGAAGTCATCATACTTGGGACAAATAAAAACGTATATAGTTTTTCATGATATAAAATATCCTGATTCACTTGAACTCCATAAGAGTGATAAAATATTTGTCTAGAAGATTTGCTCCAATGACAAGTTAGCAAAAGTATACCTACAAAATATCCATATGATTGATATGCGTAGGTTAAGAAAATTATTGTTTTCAGGGGGAGCAACAATAAACAATAAATAATTTTATTTGTCCAGATGATCATGAGAAAATATGTTAAATTCTAATGACAATTCTGAAGATTGTACCATATCCCTTCTCTACAACCTTTTGAAACGATAATTTTACTTTAAAGAATGTAAAATTTGAAGATTGTATCTTCAGGGGGAGATGAGAAGTACATCCACTCGAGTCAATCCTGTAGATTGGGTCCTAAAATGACTAATAATTATACTTTTTGCAGCATATACATACCATGTACTCTTTTCTTCACTAGGTTTTTCCCAATGGGTTTTTCTAGTGTGGTTTTTAACGAGGTATGAATATGATATATTAATGGAGGGAGTTGTATATAAATACTTAAATCACAGAATCCTGAAGATTATGCCTTGAAGGCAAATACTTAAATACACAAATCCCAAAATCTTGAAGATTATGCCTTGAAGGCAAATACTTAAATACACAAACCACAAAATCCTGAAGATTATGTCTTGAATGCTTATGGTTGTACTCTTTTTTTTCCTTAACTAAGTTTATCCCACGAGGTTTTCTTAAGTTAAGGTTTTTAACAAGGCAATCCGTACAATATATGAGTTTACGAATATCATGTACTCTTTTCTTCAACTAGGTTTTTCCAACGTGGTTTTCCTAGTGAAGTTTTTAACGAGGCATGAATGTATTCAAATATACTATCCATATACCTTGTACTCTTTTCTCGACTAGTTTTTTCCCACAGGGTTTTTCTAGCGAGTTTTTAATGAGGCATGGTGATGGCAAGATAATGTCCAAGGGGGAGTGTTCTAAATATATATTATGTAGGCATTATGAACATTCAATACAAAACTGATGTAACGGTCAGGGCATTATTATCATCATTATTGTTTGGTGTTACATATTGTATTTATATATGGATTAATATTTGATGCACCGTCGGTGTATAGATGCTATACACCAACGGTGAATGAGGAGGTGACACATCATTAAAAAATAAAATCAATATTAATTAGGTCCTTTTTTGCAAAATATCTAAGACTTAAATGTTTTTAGAAAACTCTTTTATTTCTAATTAACAAAATATATCTACTTTCCTAAAAACATACTTATTACTTACTAATTATCTAATTATTAATAATTTTGAATTAATATTAATATCCCATCCAACCTGTTAAGAGCATTTTCTTTTCTTTTTTTTTGAAAATCTGTTAAAAGCATTCTAATATTGATAGTGTTAATTGTCACGTAAGCGGTAAATAAACTAACACAAGACCAATTAAAGCAAATAAACGTCTTTTATTGATCAAGGTGAAGGCCCAAAGTACAATCTAAATGGCTGTTCCGAGTACCGATTGACTGCGGTCGGGATGCTCTGATAACAACCTATCGATCGTCCAAAAGTCCCCCACACTGTAGCTATCGCTGGTATTTATAGCCGCGAAGCCGGAGACACAAGTCCGGCCGTCCGGCATGTCACCCACGTAGCAACCACGTGTCGTCCTCCCAGGTGCCCTGCCTGTCAACACGTAGCGCTGCCACGTGTCCCTTCTCAGCTCTCTCGCCTAAGGGCTACCGCTCGGTGGTCGACCACGCCGGCCCGACCGGGTTCTTCTAGGAAATCCGACCTGTAACCTACACAAACAAGAACAAAAGGACGAAGGCATGTCGGTCGGGATATTCCCTACCAAGAGCCCCCCAGCCCGTGCCTTTTTGATCGTCCGGGAAAAAACGGGACGGGATGAAGAAGCCCAACCGCCCGCCGTCAAACCGACCGACCAGCTGTCATTCCCTCGCGCCACGCGTCGACGACTGCCAGCCTCTGCGACCGCAACGGTCACCTCGGAGTCAGGAGCAGTCACGTCATGCAAGTGGATTAGTTTCCCGCCCAAATGCTCTACTATAAATAGGCCTTTGGGGACTTCATTTGAACTTTTCCCAATCTTCCTGAATCGGTCGGTACACTCAGAGAGTCTCAAGCGAAGCATTTCAGTAGATCGGTCAAGCAACTAGCTTTCAAGCCTTCAAGTATTTTCATTCGGTAAGTTCTCTGGTCCTTAGCTTTTATTTCTCGCTTTACGTTTCCGCATAGCCAGTCGTAGGCGGTAACTGACCTCGACCCAAACATCCCGAGCCCCTAACTAACCCCGACCGGCCTTTAGGTAGACAAAATGTCAGACTCCGACAGCCAGAACGTGTCAATCGCGGACTATGACGATGGGGTCGAGGAGATCAGCGAAGAGGTGGACATAATGTCCTACTCACCAGAGGTCGTTCAACGACCACACAAAGCCCCCGAACGAGCCCCCGAGCGACGAAGATCGTCGAGCTCGTCTGGGACGTCAGGATCTAGCTCAAGCGGATCAGGGAGCTCGAGCAAAGATAGCGGGGAGACGTCAACGAGCTGGCAAGATCTCCCGACCGAAAGCATTCGGAACACGTCGACTGGAGTTATAGGCGATTACCCCCAAGCCGAGCCCCACGCAGACGATCGAGAAAACACTGCAGAGCCGGTCGAGGAGGACCCGGCTGACCCGGCAGTACCGGCCACGGGCGGATTCGAGTTCTTGAACAGCGAGAACGTCGAACGTCAGATGAGTAAGCTGACTAAAGGAGAGGCGGCCAAGATCGCCGCAACACTCAGCGGTCGGGTCGAGTTCGACACCAGTCGCCAGCTTGGGAACATCATCGAACGGCATCGGGGAAAGTGGATCGGGATGCACTACGATTCACTGATGGCCCCGATCACTTTCCCCTTCACAGCTCTCCTAACGGTGTTCCTAAGCTACTATCAAGTCGTCCCGGCCCAAATTTGCCCGAACGCGCATAGGATGATAGCCTGCTTCCCTCAGATATGCGCTCGGCACGACGTGGCCTGCACAATGGAGCTGTTTAACTTCGTCTACCAAGTGAAGGTCCTCTCGGCCTCACACGGAGGCGGGTTTTTGATGACTCAATCCCGGGCCGAAATGTGCTCGATCGAGAGTCTACCCGGGAACAACCGTGGGTGGAAGAACAGGATATTTTCGGTCAAGTATGACCCATGGATCCTCCCGGTCGAGAGGACTTGGAGCACCCATTTCCGAAAGCAAGTTACACCAGCCGAGACGAAAGCTCTCCGGGATGCGGTCACAAATATCTTGAGCGAGATCTACGAATACAAGATCTTTCGGACGGCCGAGAGCTACGACGCAGCCCAGCTACCCGCACCGATCTACAACCTGACCGAGAAATACAAGCCCGAGCCGATGGGCGTAACGATCGCAAAGGCGCCCGCTCGGGTCAAGCGAAAGGATAAAGGTCTAACACTAACCAATCATCCCCGACCCTAACACCCCGAACGCTCTTTATTCTCGGCCTAACCAACTTGCGTTTATTTGCAGGAATGGCTGCGAGAGGTTTGGATGATGAAGGCGCACAATCACCCCCCCCCCCCCCCCCCCCGGGCAAAAATATTGCTCGGGAAGAACAAGACCCCGACTGGGTCATCGAGAGGGGAGCAGATACCGACCGCCCGACCCCTAGGCTCGACAACCACAATCACCACAGCCGAAGGGGGTGTGGTCGATACATTCGACACCCTGATCATTCGGGTGGGTACCCGCAAGGGTAAGGAGAAGACGGTCGAGAAGGGCGCCGGAGAAACCGCCCCATTGAAACGCCAGCGTTGGCAAAACAGCCCGACCCCCGAAGTCGGGGAGATTGCGGTTGATGCCTCCTTCCTGACACGGATTGGCAACCTCATGCCGCTTCCATCTGATGTGTCGAAGATGACCCCGACCCAACTGGCCGAGAAGCTCAGCCGCGACTTGGTCGAGGTATGTAAAAGTTGTTATCTTGCTTTAATTGCTTAACTGCTGCTGCTCGAGCTAAGTCACTCGGTTTTGCAAGCTTCCCAGGTGGGTCTAGCTCTTCAACGCCAAGCGTTGTTAGCCAACGAGGCCACGGCATTGAAGAAGGTCGCCAAGCGGCAGCTGAAGGAGGTAGGCGATCTGTCGGTCGAGCTCAAAAAGGCCAAGGCAGACCGGGCTTTGGCGGAGAAGATGGCGCAGAAGGCGCTCAAGGATGCCGCCGACCTGACGGCCCGAATGGAGAACCCGGCCGAGATAGCCAAGTTCTTCTTCCAAAACGTCGAGTCGGGCATCAAGTTCGTCCGAGAAATGCGGAAAAATCTGGTCGGGGACGAATTGATGTGGGAGTTCGGCCGATGGGCTTTCAAGGCCGTGCAGCGGAAAATGAGGGAGAAAACCCAAAGGAACATGGAGGAGGCGCTTGAGGGCGAAGACCTCCGACTGGTTCTTACAACTCTCCCGACCGTTGTCCCCGATCCCGGTGAGGCCCCGTTTGGCCGAGAAGACGAAGTGGCTGCTGAACCGAGTGGGGCTGCTGCTGCCACACCGAGCGGGGTTGATGCTGCGAAGAAGTAGATTAGTTTCTTCTTCGTTGTTTTTGCTAAGTGAACTCGATCGGGAGCCCGGTCCCGCTCTTGTACCGGGCACATTTTCAAACTTTAACGAAATCTGTTTTTTATTAAACTTAAGTGGCTCGTAATTGTTACGCTTTATTTCCGTTTGCGTGTGTGTCAATCGTCTAATGCCCGACCCCACGACTTTATGGCCTAATCGTGCACATTCCAACCGAATGGCCTACTGGCCCGCCAAGACATCGGCATTTAGTGGCATGCCCGCTCGGGAGTTTCCCGACCTTCAGGCCTTGTCGAGAATTCGAAAAAAGTTTGGCCTCGTAACTGGGGGTATTCCCGATCACTAGGCCTTGAGCACTTCCTTCATCCTAGCCCCCACACTATTGTGCGCTCGAGGCACGAGTGGGTGCAATAGTGGAAAGAAGTTGGACGGATCGGGAACATTTGATGTAGCTCTGGCTTTCCCAATCGGTGGTGTGACCCGAGTGTCCGCCGAAGATGAGCGCATTAGCCGGTCGATCAATTCGCCCGACTGGGTTGTATACGGCTGTTAGAGCCAATTCGAGAGATGGCTATTAGAGCCAGTTAGGTTGAGGGCTATTAGAGCCCTTTTGTTGCAAGCCCCTATCGGTAGGAACCGAGGGAGAGGCGTTGGGTTGAGCGAAAAGCCCGTCTTCATTGTTGTTGTCGAACTTGATCGGGTAGATACTGGTTGTGAAAGTAGATTCAAAGCAGTTTACTATAGAATTAGAGAACCGATCGGGCCGCCGTATGCAAACGGTCGAGCAATCACCGATCGTATTTACATTAGGAAATTCCCGTTCGCAGACGGTTAGAAATATTTAAACAAATAATCTACAAACATTTAACCGACGAATAGAGCCCACTCGCAGGTTGAGCCCCCACTTCGTCTAAAATTACAAAAAATAGGCTAATGCCTAAACATAACGAGGTGCTCGGAATTCCAAGTCCCCTCAATCACCCGACCAGTCGTCGTCTCCAGTCGGTATGTCCCCGGCCGTACTACAGCGCTGATGACGTACGACCCTTCCCAATTTTGAGCTAGCTTCCCGCCTTCTAAAGGTTGACTGGCTTCCCGTCGGCGTAGGACGTAGTCTCCGACCTGAAAGTACCGAGGGTTGACCCGGACATCCTTTGTACTCTTGACTCTCTTCTGATACTCGGCCATACGCCGAGCGGCTAGCTCTCTCTTTTCCTCGACCCCGTCGAGATCCACGACCATCGAGTGTTCATTTTCTTCTGCATTGCATGTTCGCTCACGGGCGGTCGGGATCCATGCCTCGTTCGGGAGTCGGGCTTCAGCTCCGTAGACAAGGGCAAACGGCGTCTCCAAAGTCGCTTCTCACGGGGTCGTCCGATAAGTCCATAAAACATAGGGCAACTCATCGGCCCGACTACGACCAGCCGAGTGTAGCTTCTTTTTCAGACCTTCCAGGATTGTCCGATTGGCGTTCTCCACTTGTCCGTTTCCCTGCGGGTAAGCCACCGATGACCGGATATGGGTTGTCCCAATCGTGGCTAAAAAATTCTGAAAATATTGGCTTATGAATTGGCGGCCGTTGTCGCTGATGAGATGCACGGGCACACCAAAGCGGGAGATCACATTGCGCCATAAGAACCGAGCACATTGTTAAGAGGTGATCGTGGCTAACGGCTCGGCCTCGATCCACTTGGAGAAGTAATCAATGGCGACAATGACAAACTTTCTTCGGCCGGCAAGTTGAGGAAATGGTCCCAAAATGTCCACCCCCCACCTTGCGAAAGGAATTGCAGTCGTGACCGGGTGGTAGAAGGTGGCCGGTCGTCCGAGCATCCGGGCAATAATTGGCACATCTCACAATCCCGAGCGAGCTTTTCACAATCAAGCTTGAGGGACGGCCAATAATATCCGATCAACATGATACTTCGCGCTAACGATCGGCCTCCTTGATGTGACGAGCAGATGCCCGAGTGCAATTCCTTCATCACTAGATCCACCTCAAACGCGGTCAAGCAACGCATGAGCGGGCCCCCATATGATTGCCTATAAAGACGACCATCTTGAATCTGAAACCTGGGAGCCCTGAGCTTGGCCTTCCGAGCGCGCTGAGGGTCGTCTGGGAGCCGACCGTGCTCAAGGTATTCCATTAGATCGGTGATCTAGTTGTCTTCTGCCGGTTGAATAGGTGCGACCGGCATTCGATGAATGATGTGTCTCGGGATCACCAAGATTCGAGCGATCTTTGACATGTGTTCCGGGACGTCTTGAGCCAATTTGGACAAGATATCCGCATCAGCATTATCTAAACGGGGTACGTGTCGGACGGTGTTCCCCCGGAACAGGGCAAGCTTCTCCATTGCAAGGTCCCGGTATGATTGTAATCGTTCACCGTTCACTTCGTAGTCGCCGAGGACCTGCCCGACCACGAGCGCAAAATTTGTTTGAGCCCGGATATACTCAACCCCCAAATCCCGAGCACACTGCAAGCCGTTGACAAAGGCTTCGTACTCGGCTTCATTGTTGGTCGGGTGAAACTGGTACATAAGAGCGAAGTACACCTTGAATCCTTCCGGGCTCGTAACTACCACTCCTCCTCCTGCCACTTTCTTGCTGCTAGACCCATCGGTAGCCAGTGACCACCACTCGGCCTCGGGGTCGGCGACCTCCGGAGGTCGGGTATCCCGAGCGGTGCACTCGACTAAGAAATCCGTAAGAGCTTGACATTTGATGGCTGGTCTTGGTCGGTATTCAATCGCGTATTGGGTCAGCATTAACGCCCACTTGACTAGGCGACCGGATGATGAAGCAATGCGGAAGACTGGCCCAATTGGCTGATCGGTCAACACGCGAATTGCTCGACCTTGGAAGTAGGGAGCCAACTTCTTCGCGGCAATATA